TTCATATAGATGCCAGCTAATTAAACTAAAATTTTTATGGGTTCGAAGAGTAGAAGCAGGCTTCTGTCTCCTCTTTCGCATTAATACTAGTTCAAATCTTCCTCGGACTTCAGCCCTTACCCCTAGTAGTCGCCCATACAATCTTCGTAACTCTTTCCTAATTATACCTCCTTCCGCTTCATTTACCTCAAAGCGCTCTCTTTTTTCGCTTGCAGGTATACTTTCCTCGGGAATAACCTTCCAATGAATATAAGATCTTCAGAAAATCTACAAAGTTTTAAGATAAGTTGGCGCCTTTATTTGAATACTGACTCGATTAGACTTCTGTTTTCCTCATCCTATCCGCACAACTTTCTCTATGACAACAAGAAAAGGCCACCAGGAATTTAGTATGCCGCTATTAAATTTCCGTATTTGCTCACATTTCCTTCATTTGTGAGTCGTATCTCTTCCTAGGGTCCCTCATCAGAAATGTTAATTTTTCAATTTTTCAGTTCATGCATCGTGTCCTCACAGAATGCGATCTATCGACGCTATTGGCGGAACCTTCTGTATTTTTCATACACTAGTGGTCTGGTCGCATCTCCCTTGCCCCCTCCTCGGCTGGATTCGGCTGAATGTAAATGATCGCATCCGGGTTCCTATCGCCTTGAGACTGGTTTTCAATTCGCCAATTTGACATGAATGGTCTCATCCTGCAAATGAATCCTGCCTTGATGATGTTTGTTTTGAACCCTTTACTCAATACCACATGCAGGCTGGTCCTGCCTGACCCGCCCCTTTACCCCTTCATGAAATCCGTCTTACACTGCCACATAGAGGCCGTTCCTGCCTTTTTTATACATTCAGGGGCGAGAGTTTTCTTCTCCTATAGTGTTAATCCAGTCATACTCATTTTTTATAACTCGGTAGTTTTTTTCACTGCTCGTTCATCATTGTTAGTAACCTACTACCTATTCGATGACTATGAATCAAGTATTATATAGATTCTGTATACCAGTTCTAGAATTTATGTAACGGTTATACTTATTTGCTATGAACGGACCCCCACGGGCATTGAATAAAAATTATTATTATTATTTCAAGCTTTGGCTTAGAAGGTTGCCAACCGACGGGGTAACTCATTATTCGTCTCGGGACGTAGAGTAGACTGTAATTGCTCTACGACACATACTCAGCTGGAATCCTCACCGTCTCTCTCGGTACAGAGACAGAGAATGACAGGGGAGGAGGCACTGATGAACCCCGGTTCTATGAAGTGCCTACGACTTACCTGCCGGACCCCGTCTGTGTACCATCTGCGCCGCATTAGGACGCATGTTTGTGTTTCTGGCCCCAGATGCTGACCAGGTTTATGATTGGCTAATAGAAAGCAAAATAATCCCGAGATAGTATTTTTGCAGTCTGCCTGCATCCTCTGTCGTGCCTCTTCGCTGCTGTTATAGCTTAGCCGACTTCGGTCTGGTAGTTGGCTGCCTGTTCCTGATCGTCTGCACCCATGCCGAGTTTCTTTGCATGCCAAAGTTTATGAAGGCGTGAAAAGGAACAGAAAATGCCCGGTCAATTTCGCTGTACTTAAATCTTCCCCACAAGAAATCACATACCACCATTAAAACTAGAATATGTAAGCATGTTTTAGGCGGCAAACTCCGTACAACTCCTCCTTAACCAATTTTCTGCAGTATATGAGCGGGGAACTGACCCCGCATCTGCCCGCCTTCTGTAGATCCCCTTCTCGTATGGTACTTTCATTTGTCTTACGAACTAACAGCCCATGTTTCACGAGCTCTAAGTAAAAACAACGATATGAAAATGGTTGGTGACGCCGACTTGATGGACGCTCACCTGCAATACGTAGCTTAGCTTATGTGTCACTAAATTGCCGCTCAGTTCAATCCTTCTATTTTCCAGTGTCAGTTATCATGGCCGTGGATGGGAAAACGCGCTTGCTGATACCTTGCCGTGAGTCAAAATGGATGCTATCAAACGACCTCGGCCTATCGAGTCTAGGTCGTGATTCTGATAAAATCTAGCAGGGTAGCCCCTCCATCAGTACCAGAACCCTGACTTCCGTCCCAGCATCTAGTACCTTACGTCCCCTATCACCAGCACTATCTTCATACTCAAACCAACAAATACCGACGCGGCATACGCATTCGCCGTCGACGTTCAACCGAATTACTCAAATACCGGCTTTATTCGGCCTCCCCTACTATCCTGGATTCTGCCCGCCAGCCGCAGTCGCCCACGCTGCGATAACACTACCGTTGGTGCTTTTCTCATTCACTCAACTTAACTATTCTTCCTCCGTTCAGATTCTCCAACCGAACTCCAACCTGGGAAGGGAGCGCTTGTAACAGACCTAAGCCGGGCGCCTGCCGCAACGCGGCGCTTCTCGTGAGTACTTGCACGTACGCACCAGCGGGGGCATGATTCTCGACCAATCACTGCTGTCCATACCGGCCAGTCACCTTCAAGACCGACTTGGGCGTGCTCTCCTTCAAGGTGCTGCAATACAGTCCCCACCATCATTCAGGCCGCTGCTCTAACGACGCCGGACGTACTTGCCACCCCGAATGGCAAATTACTCAAAGCAGTTCGCTAACCTTTGTGTACAGAATACAGCATCCTCTCGAATGGCGTCCAACAACTCTTTCTATTACGGACGGGGTCTGAAGGTCGTAGTGACTGTGGTTTACCTGTGGTTTAAGCCTCTACTACATATCTGCTGAGAAAACACTTTTTGGGACGTTTGATCTCGTGCGGTGATTCAGGGGTCTTTGGAAGATTCTTCGGTTCGATTATCGAGTCGTGTGCGGTTTTGACAGGCAAAAATGAAACTAAATTCATAAAGTTTGCGTTTTAGTCAATGGGTTTATGACATAATGTGCATATGAATACTGTAGCTACCTCCTTAAGTAACTTGTTCCATGAGCTGGTCCCTCATTGCGCAAAAGCCGCTTACCCAGCTAGTTCAGCGCATTCGTGGCTTCTGAAGCTAGTAGGAATGACCACAGAATGTGGGAACTGACCTGGAGCAGTTAGTGCAGATCTACGTCAGTTCTTCTGCTGAGTATCACAAAACGATGCTAGCAGCTGGGTTTGGTGGCGTCGTGGCAATCCGCGCCTGCTTGTTCCGCGCTGCTTCGTCTAGTTGCTTTTACGTCCGCCTCACGCTTCCTGTCGGCTCGTTGCTGAGGTCGCGCAAGGTTTTTCACTAGCCTCACGAGAGTTCAAAGCCAATCAACGCTGCCACTTTCCCTGATTGGCAGGTGGAGGCTAACTGGAACAGGGCAAACGACGCACACACGCGCTGAGGGCTAATAACTTAAACGACGGACACGGACAAGACAACTTGCCCTGGGAGACAGCTTGCGGTAACCGCTTGCAGAGCTTTTTGTGTGCACCTCCTCGACAGTAAAAGATGTCCAAACCTATCCGTCTTCCTTGGCATCTGATCAGGACACCCTTGCCTTGTCGATTATTGTGGACTTTCGGGTCGGCCTCCAATCGCATCCGAGTCATCAACCTTCATGACCCCATGCGCTTTCCTTCACTATGGTCTTGGTCGATCCACACTAGTAACCTAAGCGCGAATCCGTCGAATCCTCACGCAAGTCCCCACACTTGTCACAGGTTTTCGTTTTCCTGTGCTGTAAGGCGTGTCTTGATGCTCGAAATGTTCATACTGACATGCCACGTGCGGAGGCCGATGTTATCAGTCAGACGACCTTTCGGTTCCAGAACCGTGACTTAGAATTTGTGTCCCCCAAATGTGCTATCATTAGCACGCATCCTATGTTTCTGGGACACCCTCTTTTCTTTTCAATTAAACCACGATTTTTCGCCTAACTTCAAATATGCAAAGCGCTTACATATCCTTAATGTCGTAGCATCACATTTTCAACGGATTCTGGAGTTATTGCTAGAATGAATTTTCTCGGGCGGATTCCTGTGGTTTAACATTTAGTCGGATACCCTGCATTTAACACATAGGTGCAGAATAGCACACCACATTCATCCAGTTTCCTAATACGCAAATCAAGTTTAGAAAGTTTATCCGTATGCTTTTATTCACAAAAGTGCAAAAGAGCCCACGATCTGGGTCAGTTTATTCTGATCTTGCCAGTTACTTCCACCAGTTATGATCATAATCGCGGTTGTGCATGGAATGAAGCACTCCTAATGATTTTCCGACCATTTCTTGCTAGTCGGGTATTGGATCACTTGACGCTGGTTGAAACGCTTCATCTATATTCGCTATTACAAGCTCCGCAGCCTTGTGCGTTAATGCCTCTGAAACGGGCCACGAGGCATTTGCGCTGGACAAACACAGGGACTAGACCAGAGTCCAGCGGTCGCTGTTAAGAATGCGCGAGTATGACAAATGCCGACAGTGGAGTGTGGTGGTACACTTAGCTGAATGCGCACACCGCACCAACTGGGATACAAGCCGACCGCCTCTCTTCTCCTGTTGTGCAAAATCCTGGCCAGTGTACGTTTTGGACCAGGGATTGTGATGGTACTCTTAGGTGCAGATATTCGCCGTGACAGTCATCCATTTCCTCCCCCGCCTCTAGCCGTCTTCACTTTGCCATCTCACCAGACCCAGCGAGATGGGGTAGGAAAGAGTGCATTGAAGGCAGCGCGAGTCCTAAATCACCATGAAAGAAATCACGCGTAAGTAACCGTTCCTGCCCCTACCGTGCTGTGAAGCTCATGGTGGGCATAAGCGGCCAGACGATCGAGACCTATCTGCGTTTTTGTCCCCGGAGAGCAGGGGGGGTTCAGTTTTGGATATCACGTAAGAGTCTTTGCAGGTGGCACAATTTATCTCGTGCAAATGGTGACTGCACCCAACATCCCTTAACTGGCAGACAACACTCACGTGTGGATCGTCGAAACTATGCTCTGTCTAGCGGCCGCCGCGAACGGTGAGATAAACCCAGTGGGGGGGGGCATCCGGTGTTGTATGTCAAATGTTACGCGGATCAAAACGAATGGAAGAACTTCTCCGCGATCAAAGCTGTCCACGGTCCGCCAACCAAAAGCACCGCTCCCCTCCTCAGCGCCGACGGCAGTACCCACCTGACCGAAAAGAAAAAATTTTCAGCGATTGGCTGAGCACTTCAGAAGCGTCCGACGCCGCCACCGCCCGTCTGTCGAAAGTAGCTATCAATGTCGATGTCGACCTACCTCACTCTCTCCACGCAACCATCAGGGCCGTGCAGCAGCTCTCCTGCGGGAAAGCGCCCGAATCGGACGCGATCCCTACTGAGGTCTACAAGCACGGCGGTCCCCAACTCATGGATCACCCGACGGCGCTCTTCCTGGAGATGTGGCCTCACGCGGAAGTCCCGCAGGATTTCAAGGACGCCTCAATGTCCATCTCTATAAACCGGAAAGATCTTGGATTGTATCCTTCTTAACCGCCTGAACAGTCATCTGGAACAAGGTCTGCTCCTGGAAAGCCAGTTCGGCCTCCGTAGTCATCATGGGACCAAGGGCGTAATCTTCGCCGCCCGCGAAATCCAGGAGAAATTTCAGCAGATGCGGACTCACCTGCACTATATCTTCGTGGATCTGATGAAATCCTTCAACATGGTGGACCGCGAACGACTGTGAAAAATCGTGGAGAAACTCAGCTGTCCCGAACGATTCCTTCAGATGATGCGTCATCTTCACGATGGCATAGTGACGCTCGTCACGGACAACGGAGCTGTTTCGGAGGCATTCGCAGTGACCAACGGAGTGACGCAGGGCCGCGTTCTCGCGCCTACGTTCTTCAGTCTCATGTCCTTTGTCATGCTGATGGACCAAGTCCGTCGCTGCACGGACACTCTGAAGATCTCCCTGAATCGTCTGCAGATCAACCCAGCCAACCGGGAAGACCTCGCATGAGACCGGCCGACCAAGAGTCGGGCAGTGACGACAGGCACAGCGATCTAGAAGCCAACAGCGTCATTGCCGCCAAAGCCAATTGCGAAGCTCGCAAGTCGCAACTGCGCCCACCCCGCAACGCCTCCTATTTAAACTCTTATATAATCACACATTTAACCCACTCACTTCTTTAAGACATCATATCCACCCACGACGTAACAGTCACCGTGAGGTCTTCTTATTTCTGCCTCTGGCACGTGCTGTTAAATATCGTCGGTTCTTTTCTGTAAATGCAATTGCTATTTGAAATAAACTATGTAGGAATGTGAAAACTCTGACAAATTATCCTTCATTTAAGAGAACTATTACTCGATTTTTGCATTCAGACAAGCTTCCTCAAATTTTGGGCTCTGAATCCACTGATCGACTCTACCGTAGCGATGGCGTTTGTGGTCTCTTGTCATTATGGCCGGTCTCATCAGCTGTTCCTCAACGCCTCTACTTTGACTATCCCCAACTTCATGAAAGGAATTGACGTCCGATGATCTCCGATACTGTGCAACCCCCTTCCCCCCTTCTTTACGGTCGAAAATCTACCGCCAGCGGTTTTTTTTCTCCTGAACCCTCCAAACCATAAAAACCACCATCAACTATATTTTTATTCTTCAGGAGTTTTTTTTCACTGCTGGTCGGATTTGTGTTTAATCGCTTCCCTTGACAATGCCTGTAAACTGGCATTTAATAAATTAAATTAAACTAACCGTCCCTGAACTGCGCACGCTA